TTCTTCAACGTCAATGGTCCAACCCAGTCTCGGGGCCTAACCCCAATTCTCTGGACAGGCGCTTGTACAACTTGGCGCCTGACATTGCTTCCTTACTGCAAATTCCAACAGTAGACCCACCCGTGGTAGCCCTCTCGAGCCATTCCAACATGGCCGCCCCCCCTGAGGAGGCCCTTCGTCCCGAGGAAAAACGCCTTGACAATTCTCTTGTCAAGGCACACATGGCCTCCGCCTGGGCGGCCAAAGCTGCCATGGCGTCTTCTTTTTTTAATAGAGCCTCCATCTCGTGGCTCCGCCAATTGAAGGATCGCCTTCCCTTATCAGACGCCCGGTCCCATCAGGACCTGAATAAAGTCCTAGCGGCCCTAGAATTCTCCGCGGACGCGACTTTGAACTCGTCGCGTTTCGCTGCCAAGTCAATAGGGGCCTCAGTGACCTCCCGCCGCCTGCTTTGGCTCTGCCAATGGCAGGCCGACGCCAAGTCTAAATGGCGCCTCGCTTCATCCCCCTTCGCGGGCCCTTCCCTTTTTGGGGCTCCCCTCGAGCCCCTCCTAATCGAAACCAGGGACAAGAGACGTATCTTGCCCAACGTCTCACGGCGGTCGGAGCCCCGTCCGACTGCCCCCTTTCGTCCCTTTCGTAACACTGAATCAGGTTTCTCGGGCCCGAGATACCAAAGATTCTTTCCAACACGTTCACGTCCACCAGACCGTCAAGGTCCCCAATTCCAGAGGGGCCAATATAGGCGCTCCTTCAGAGGGGGCCGGGGGCGCCCTTCCCATAGGTCCCGCTGACTGCAGGTCTTCTTCTCCCATTGGAGGCCGCCTGGCTCTCTTTGCCAGCCAATGGGAGGCCACAACATCAGACTCTTGGGTCAGGGAGACGGTCAGGTGGGGCCTCTCCCTGGAATTCCTCTTCACCCCCCCCAGACAGATTTCTCCGATGCCCTCTCTCGAGGGATCGGTCGAAGCGGTTTCTGGTGGTATCGGCCATCCATCATTTATTAGAAATTCAGGCCATCGAACCGGTACCCCAGGAGCAGCTCGGACAAGGCTACTATTCATGTCTGTTCATCGTCCAGAAATCGTCTGGGGGCTGGAGGGCAATTCTGGACCTCAAGACTTTGAACCGCTGGGTCCTCTACCGGCGGTTCAAAATGCAGTCCTTACTATCCATCCTGGATGGTATTCGGGTTGGGGACCTCCTCTCGTCTATAGATCTGACAGAGGCTTACTTACACGTTCCCATCCATCCGGCATATTCCACGTTTCTGAGGTTTTGTTATGCGGGCCAACATTACCAGTATCGCGCACTCCCTTTCGGCCTGTCCTCGGCTCCCCGAGTGTTCACAAAACTGATGGCCGCCCTTGCGGCACACCTCCGGGCTCTTCCGGTCAGGATCCAATGTTACCTGGACGATCTCCTGATCCAGTCGAGTTCGGAGGCCTCGGCGCAACGGGACCTGAACTCCACCCTTCAGGTCCTGACGGCTCACGGCTTCTCCATCAACCTAGACAAGAGCCACCTGGTACCCTCGACCCGCATACAACATCTGGGAGCTGTCATCGATACGGTCGAGTGCAGGGTCTTCCTTTCCCAGGAGCGCCTGACCAGTTTGCAGTCTCTGGTCAGGTCAGTCGCCCGGAGTCACTCCGTCTCCCTGGCGACTCTCTCCCAACTTCTGGGAAAGATGGTTTCCTGTATAGGAATCATTCCTTGGACCCGTCTCCACTGCAGGGACCTGCAGTGGTTTCTCCTCCCGTATCAGAAGTGCCGCCTATCGGCCTCCTGCCGGATGGTCGCCCTTCCCTCCAAAGTCCGATTAGCCCTGAGGTGGTGGCTATCACCTGCTCTTCTCAAGGGGAGGGAGTTTCGGGAACCCAACCCCCTCGTGGTTACTACGGATGCCAGCCTCCGCGGCTGGGGGGCTCATCTCCACTCCACCATGGCCCAAGGTCTCTGGACCCAGGAGGACCTGGGCCACAACATCAATTGGCTGGAGCTCCAAGCCATCCATCTGGCTCTCCGCGTCTTTCAGAACCAGGTCCAGGATCGCCATGTCGTCATCCGGATGGACAACGTGGCCACCAAGGCCCATGTGAACCGCCTAGGGGGGACCCGCTCTCGCGTCCTCATGGAGGAAGCCGGGAGATTGGGAGCCTGGGCGGAGACTCACCTGAGGTCTCTTCGAGCATCTCACATATCGGGACAATCCAACACACAAGCCGACTGGCTCAGCCGGTCCGTTGTCGATCAGGGCGAGTGGCAGCTCGACCCAGCCCTGTTCCTGCGGATCACAGATCACTTCGGTCATCCGACAGTGGATCTGTTTGCGACTCACGCCAATCGGCAGACCATTCGATTTGTCTCCAGGTTTCACGATCCAAGACCGGAGGCGACGGACGCACTGCACTGCAGGTGGCCCTCGGGTCTCCTCTACGCTTTCCCTCCCCTCCCTCTTCTTCCCAAGGTACTCAGGAAGCTCTTGGAGGAGGAAGCCGAACTGATCCTGATCGCGCCCCACTGGCCTCGCCGCCCGTGGTTCGCCGACCTCCAGATGCTGTCCACCCGTCCACCGTGGCGTCTCCCTCCGGAGCAGGTCATCCTTCGTCAGGGTCCTCTTCTACACCCGGACGCTCACTGGCTTCACTTGACCGCCTGGAGGTTGAGCAGCGCCTCCTGAGGGCATCGCACTTGCCAGACCAACTCATCACTACCATTCTAGCCGCACGCCGGCCGGCAACGAGGCGCATCTATGGAGCCACTTGGCGGACATTCGCACTCTGGTACTCGAGGAGGAACCAGGATCCAGGTTTGGTGTCTACAAAACAGGTATTGCTTTTTCTTCAGGAGGGGTTGGATGCTGGGTTGGCCCCTAATACTCTGAGGAGACAGGTGGCTGCCCTTTCTTCCATTTTATGCTTTGGTGCTCGGAACTCATTGGTGGACCGCCCCCTTATCTGCTTATTCCTCCGGGGCGCTACCAACCTCCGCCCGCCTCCCATTCATCGATATCCGTCCTGGGATCTGCCCAAGGTCCTATCAGCCCTCACACAAGGTCCATTCGAGCCCCTTAGGACAGTGCCCTTACGCTTCCTCTCGTACAAGGTGTCCTTTTTAGTTGCCATCACCTCCGCCAGGCGGATTTCGGAGTTGGCCGCTCTATCGGCCCGGGCTGATCTCTGTATATTCCACTCCGACCGGGTGGTACTCCGCCTGGACCCCACATTTCTGCCTAAAGTAAACACCCTCTTCCATCGGACTCAGGAACTAATCCTGCCCGATTTTTGCCCTAACCCTTCCCACCCTCGGGAACGTTCCTGGCATTCCCTGGATGTCCGTAGGGCCCTTCGTATTTACCTCCGACGAACTTCTTCTTTCCATCAGTCAGAGGGGCTCTTGGTTTCCTTCCAACCGGCTACCCTGGGGCTTAAGGTTTCTTCACAAACGGTGGGTCGTTGGATAAGGGCTACAATTACTACGGCTTATGGGGCTCAAGCCTTGCCAGTTCCTCGCCGCCTGACGGCCCACTCTACCAGGAGTGCGGCTACCTCGGCGGCCTGGGCCACCCAGGCCCCTCTTCTAGAGGTCTGTCGGGCCGCCACTTGGACGTCTCCGACTCCTTTCATCCGCCATTATAAAATCGACAGCTTCACTTCGGCAGAGGCGGCATTCGGTCGTCGAGTTTTCCAACAAGTATGTGCGGGGGATGTCTCCACGTCCCGGGCGGGTCCCTCCCTATAAGTGGTGGACTTTGGCATGTCCCACGTATAACCACTGGCCTCTCCCTCGCTTAGAAGGGGCGTTGTCTTACCTGAACGCCCTTTCTGAGAGTGGAGAGGCCAGTGGTTATCCCCACCCTTTCCGCCGGGCCCTTTTGCTGGGAGTTATCCTTCCTTTCTTTCATTTCAGTTCAGTGACAGCGTCTTCCGTCTGTCCACATCTCGTCCGAAAGCTGGGAGTCAGCAAAAGGAGGAGGACTTTTCAACTGACAGACTCGATCTGATTGGATCGCAGTGGTATTACCCACGTATAACCACTGGCCTCTCCACTCTCAGAAAGGGCGTTCAGGTAAGACAACGCCCCTTCTATTTTCTCTATAGTATGTAGCTTTTGTTTTTTCCTAAGCAAATATGCCAACCATCTGCCTGGTTTATTCGCATTACAAAAAGAATTATGTTTGGCATATTGCAAATTAGTTGCCACCTGATCTGCCATCAACATATTAAATTGCCCTCGCAATAGATTAATTGCTTCTTTTATTTTCCTATCAGTTGGGTTTAAGATTAATAGTTGCTCTTTATTTTTTATTTCTTCTTCTAGCTCCTTCCGTTTCCTTTCCTGTTTACGTCTATATTTGTTATTCATGTATATTAAAATACCTCTCATATATGCTTTACTTGCATCCCATACCGTCTCCATAGGTGTACCTTTATGCATATTCATAACAAAAAATTCTTTAATAAATTGTTTACATTCTTTCACATTTCCCTCATATCTAAACAAATTTTTGTTCAGCCTCCAGGACTTCCTGGGTCCCTTCTCATATTCCAGTTCCATCCAAACCGGACTATGATCTGTTAATGTTCTTGGACATATTTTCGTTTTCTTCACCCTAGAAAGAAAATCATTAGAAATTAGTATAAAGTCAAACCTAGAAAATGACTGATGTCTATCAGAAAAAAAGGTAAAATCTTTCTCTTCTCCATTCCTCTCACGCCAAATATCTCTCAGCTCCATATCCTCCATCATATTAAAAAAGGATTTAAGCAATCTGGCACATTTTGGATATTTTGCAGAGATCTCTTTTTGTCCTTTTTAATATCCATAACTCCATTCCAATCTCCCATCATTATATGTGTTTTGTAATCCCAATGTGTTAATTTAGCATGTAAAGTCTTATAGAAACTTTCTTGTTGCTGATTTGGTGCATATATTTCAATTAATAATTATATAATAATTTAATAATAATAAAGATATTATCTTTTATCTCTCCTTAGTTCCTCGTGGTTTTTCCTTGTGTCTTCATGATTATGGACCATGGTCTCTTGCATTCTATTCACTCATTCCTGGATCATCGTTAGTACGGAGTGGATGTTTTACATACTAAGAGTGGTGGTTGCCTTATCCTTTTCCATGGTTTCAACTGATTTTTGCTGTGTTGGGGAGGCTGTAAGTATCATCTGGTTTGGAGGTATTTTCTTGCTTGACTTAGTAATTGTTGCTGAGCCCGTAGTTGCCATTAGTATTTCTTGTATTATCTTCTCCCAGAGTTTCATATACTGATTACTATTTGGGCTGTTATATTTCTATTGATATTTAAATTCAATTTATAGTTTTCAGTAGTCCCAAGATAATAAACAATTGAGATATATTTCCTTATCACACAATCACTATCTATGTATAAGTTTATATATAAATTCTATCTTTCACCATTCAATATTTTTCAAAATTCTTCAAATATTAATGACTATTTGTCCAAATTAATCTTTAAAAATAAGGAGGGGTATAGAGGGGAGGGAGTGAGGGAAAAGTCTAATGCTTCAGCAATTCATCAATTGATTGTCTTTATAATTAATTATTTAGTATCCTATTTAAATTATTATTAATTACTATTATAAATATCAATTACCCTTAATTACAATACTTAATTTACTTAATCTGTCTAATATAAATCTTCAAACTTAAACGTACAAAAACAGGATGATAATTAAATGCCAAAGTAATTCTCTGAGTAGATATAAGACTCAGTTAACAATTATATATGAGATTTCAAAAACAATATATTTATTACTTTTTAATCACTGATTCAATATCAAGTTTAATTGCAATTAATTTTACTTCACCATTGATTCTTCTTCCTCTAGGTCACTCTCTTCTTTTTCAAATTTGTGTCCTTCTGATTTATTTTCTCTGCTATTTACTTTCAATGTCTAGCGTCCACTGTCTTTTAAATTGAATATCCACCAAGTTTCAAAAACGTCCACCTCTCAAAAGATCCTGGTCCAAATATCTGAAAATCGCCCAAATCTCATCCAAAACTCCAAATGTCCAAAGGAAAAAGTTATGTTTAATTTGATTTAGTTCCAGAAATCGCTAGCTTCCACTTAAACAGAGTTTTTTCTGTCTCTCTCTCTTCTGGAATCTGCTGATTGTTAATTGCCTCGTCACTGTCTCCACAGAGGGCAAAGTCCGTCAAATTTCTCTCTTTCTCTCCTTGAATCCTGTCTCTCCTCTGCAGCAAATTATCCTAGATCTCAATTTTCTCCGGGTTCACTTTTTCGTACTGGGTTTCCTTTGGATTTCCTCCGATTTCGCCAGTTGTTAATTTGTGCGCTGTCACTGTCAAGATGACTTCCGTCTCCACTTAGTTTCCAGTCGCTGCTTGTTTAGCTATATTTCGCTTCTTGATTGGAGTTTACTTTCTCCCGCCTTTAATCCTCACGTTATAGATGGCTTTTGGGTTCTTTTTTCTTCCGATCTTTCCACCGGTGTCTTCTTTTATTTGATTTTCGCTTCCCTCTTAATCAGCTGTCAACGTTTCTGGCCAGCCGGAATGGCTGGTTTTTCCCCGATCAGGATTAAGGGGGTTTCCCTGAACGTTTGGAGGGATTGCTGTCCTCTCCGAGGTCCTCGGAGTTTCCCCTTTTTTCTATTGACTTCTCCGAGGTCAATAGTGCCTAAATCGGCTCCCGAATCAGGGGTATTAGGGACTTGCAGAGCGGAGGTCCGTTCCCTTTTTCCCTAACATGGTGACGTCGCCGTCGGAAGTCCTCCAATATTTGCCAATTTCAATCTTATTTTAATGTTCCCCAAGTTCCAATTTTAAAATTCAATCCAGTTTAAAAAAAAATCTCTATTGCAGCGCTTTAATTTTAAACTTTTCTTTGTTTTTCCTTCAATGTTCAAAAGTTTTAAAATTATTTCCAATCCTCTTCACCACTATTTTGAGTTTCTTCTTCTAATAATTTAGATATCTCCAGACAGATTGTAAACCAAAACTCAATTTCTGATTCGGGCTTTGACACTTTAAACTTCCGCTTTGTTCTTCTCCCTCCATTAACATTCCCCACCGCCCATTAGCTGCTGTTTCTTCTCTGGGGCTTCTTTTAACAATTTAAAAATATTTCTTTTTTTACCTGTGAGCTGGCCAATCATTCACCCTCTACCAGTACTCTGTCCAAATCACCACTCCTGCTCAATCCCCTACTCCGGAGTGTCTTATATTCCAAAAAATACAGTAACTCAATTGAAATTCCACATATGCTTGACTTTTTAGCTTCAGTTAAATATTATATGGAGATCTTAAATATATTTCAACTTCCTGTGTTCATAGAATTCTTAACAAAATTGCCTGAAAATCAGTAATTTTTTCAAGTACTTTTAGTTAAGTCATTCAAATTACATGCAAATTTATTGAATCTAAATATTCATTTTTTCTGATATATTAAGTAGTAAAATGTGATCTTGAATTCTGTTGGCTGAAGAATTTGGAAACTAAAAGAAGACGAATTATTAACATAAATCAGATGACGTAACTTGTACATTCACATAGAATATTTTTTTGCAAAAAGATTTATTTAAAAAAAATAAATAAATTTAGTAGGGAACTTTTTGGGAATTATAGGATGCCATTAATAAATAGTAGTAACCTAAACAATAAAAATAAATGGTTTACACCAGCTCAGTAATCTTTTGATGTTCATGACTAAATCATTATGTATAACTTGCATGTGTGACTGTACTATCAAATAAAATGAAACCCTATGGGTATACATATATTCACATACATACATATACAAATCGTTCCGTTTCCTCTTCATCAATGAAAGATATGCTGGCAATATATCAGTGGTGGGTTGCTCCCAGTTCGCCCCGGTTTGGGCGAACTGGTAGTGGTGGCGGCAGGAGGCTCTGCCCACCCACTCAGACGTCATCAAAAACCTTCTGCGTATGTGCAGAAGCGCTGTGCGCTCGCAAAGCGAGCACGTGCACCTGTATACTACCAATAGTGAACCAGTAGTGCCGGGATTTGAAACCCACTACTGCAATATATCATTAATTCAGTTAAAAATAAATATATAAACTATTAATAAAATATGTTCAAGAAACAAATCATTTTAATATTATCCTGGTGTGTGTGTGTGTGTGTGTGTGTGTGTGTGTGTGTGTGTGTGTGTGTATACCATATATATATCCTGTTTCCCCCAAAATAAGACATCCCCTGATAATAAGCCCAATCGGGCTTTTGAGCGCATGGCAATAAGGCCAAGAGCTTATTTCAGGGTTTGTGATTCGTGCTGGAGCCCATCCTCAGGGAACTTCTTTCTAACAGAATGTGTGTTAGAGATTGTTCGTGTCCTGTAGCATAGGAATACTGTCACATATAAATTATACCACAAAGAGAATGCAACAGGTTTATATGCACTTTGGAACAGCAACAGTTTCCCTCAGAGCTTCTAGGTTTCTGGAACTGGAACATTTTCTTCACAGAGCTGATTAAAGTGCCTGTCAGTCTGACTGGCTATTGGTCAGGCCTATCATATTGGCCATCAATTCAACTAATAATCTCTTTAAAAATAGGCTTTCTGTTTTATAATACAGAGAGGGAAGTTACTGTCAATATCTCCATTGAAATAAATGAGCAAACAAAAATAATACATGGTTGTGGCATATATAGTGAATTATCAAATTTTTACAAGATTTTAACATCACTAGTATGTTTTTGAGGGGCAGACATAAATCTATTAAAATCAACAGCCCTGTCAGGGCTGGAATCCTGAGAAATACACAGCAATTCTCCAGCTAGGGGGAAACGTCAGTCAGAGTGGGAAGAGACGGTCTGTCTAGCGATTGACTGAGTCTGCCATCTTAAAAGCTCCGCCCTCCCGGGCCGCCCCAGTTCTTCGACTCGGTCTTCGCGTGACCGAGCGTGTCTTCCATTGCTGACAGCTCTTTTTGATCTATTTCGCTCAATTTCCACTTCTCCGGACTGCGATTACTTCAATTCAAGCGGCTGTGTGATTCCTTTCGCGGCAGGCTTCTCAGCGCCTGTCAGCTGGAGCCCCCACCTTCGGAAACAATCACGCTGCGCTTCAAAGGCCTTTGCCTAGCAGCACTTGTCGGCTGGAATGGCTGCTCGCCGATTCCTTAGTCGCACTAATAGCCGGATGGCTAGCGACCTTTCGGCGCCACATTCTTCAGCGGATTGGCGCTTTTTCTGCCTGGGGACTTAAGATAGGCGGTGAGGTAAGAGTGGTGGGCTCATCAATCTATTCGCCATTATCGGCTGCATCTAATTGACAGCGCAAAATGGCGGACACCACGAGGCGCAACGGGGGACATGCCAGCTCTCCCTCACATCGCAGCCGCCAGGAGAGTGATCCCTTAGAGGGACCTTCTACAACTTCCCAGGGCGCAGGATCCCCTCCTCCGGCGAAGAGATCTAGGAAGAAAGGGGCCGCTGTTTCCTCGGTCTCTGCCCCCTCTCGTGAGGAGCAGCGCCGGCATAACGCCATTGAGAAAGCCTTTCTTAAGGCTCAGTCTCAGGTCCATCAAGAGGCAGACCCTCCCAGCTCCAGGGCCAGATCTCCCTGCGTGGTTAGGGACCTCTCTCCTGATCCCCCTAGATCATCGCCTGGGATCGCCCCCTCAGATTCTCATAGACTTTTTGAATCTCTGCCTGAACCGGAGGCCTCACCTCAGTGTCCACCTTCTGATCCTCCTCCTCCTCCCCAGCCTCTGCCTCCAACTCCTCTGGTGGATTCCTTAGAGGCCCTTATCTCTCGAACTATTCATCAGAGCATGGCGGAATATCTTCTCCAGGCTCTGCTTTCTTCGGGCCCCTCTGCTACCTCCCAATCACAGACAAGGGTTAGAGAGGGATCTCATCTGGATCAAGATCGCTTGGCTTACCATGAATTAGCCGATCATACCTCAGTCTCAGAGGCAGATGACTATCAAGACCAGGCTTGGTCTGATGATGAAGGCCTAGGCCCTAATCAGCCCTCCTTCATTGGGCTCTTCAAACCGCAAGTCTTTCGTTCTCTCCTCTTCAAAGCGATTGCTACGACCCGTTTGGGTACACCATCTCCTTCGATCCCGACTGCTCCCTTGGATGATCCGTCTACTGCCATGTTCGCCGAACCCACCATCGATCCTGAGACAATACCGGCTCCCAAGTTGTTCACAGACGTGGTGCAGCGTCAATGGAACCTTCCTGGAGCTGGCCCCAGCCCAAATGGCTTGGACAAGCATCTCTACAACTCTGCTGCTCCCTTGGCGGACCTTTTGCAGGTTCCCAAAGTTGACCCGCCCATTTTGGCTTTGACTGATTCATCACAACTTACTGGTCCAGCGGAGGATTCCCTTCGGCCGGAAGATAAAAGAGCGGAGAAAACCCTTCTCCAAGGGCACCAAGCTACAGCATGGTCTATCTGGGCCTCCACCCCGGCCTCATTCTTCAACAGAGCTGCCCTACTTTGGCTCAAACAACTTCAGGCCAGGCTTCCTCTATCCGACTCTAGGTCTCACCAGGACCTGAATAAGATTACGGCTGCCCTCGAGTATTCGGCAGATGCCACGCTAAACTCTGCACGTTTCTCGGCCCGGGCCTTGGGATCCAACGTAACATCTCGTCGGTTGTTGTGGCTCCGGAGTTGGCAAGCCGACATGCGCAGCAAGTGGCAGCTGGCTTCCGCTCCTTACTCATCAGGAAACCTGTTTGGACCGGCCTTAGATCCTCTTTTAGTAGAAACCAGGGATCGTCGCAAGATTCTTCCTCCAGCCACTCGTCGAGGGGAGTCTCGTTTTTCTTCGTCTTCCAGATACCAGTCCTTTCGGCCCTCCGGCTTTGCTTCATTCCAACCTCGCACTCAACGCTCCTATGCTCCCAGATAGCAACAGGAACTCCAGGTCAGGCAGGGGTCTAGATTCCCTTCCTGTCATTTCCCTCGCGGAGGGAGGGGAGGGCATAACCCCTGTAGATCTAGATAGACCGGCTCCCTCGGCTCCTATTGGTGGCCGTCTCTCTCTATTCTTGGCTCAGTGGGAGGCTTCCACCGATGACCCTTGGGTTCTTAATACCATAGCCTTGGGTCTCTCCTTAGAATTCTCCTCCTCTCCCCCTTCTCGTTTTGTTCCCTGCCCTGTTTCCCGGGATGGCCTCAAATGGGACCTCGTTTCGGCCGCAATTGAACATCTCTTGGAGATTGCGGCCATCGAACGGGTTCCCCTTTCCCAACAAGGTCAAGGGTTTTATTCCCGTCTCTTCGTAGTCAAAAAGTCCTCCGGGGGCTGGAGGCCCATATTAGATTTAAAAGCCTTGAACCGGCATGTTAAATATCGCTGGTTCAAGATGCAGTCCCTTGCTTCTATTCTTGAGTCAATTCGGCCTTCTGATCTAATAGCATCCATTGATTTAACAGAAGCCTACCTCCATGTTCCCATCCTTCCCGCTCACCGCAAATTTCTTAGATTTGCCTTCCGAGGGTCCCATTTCCAGTACAGGGCCTTGCCCTTTGGGTTGTCTTCAGCCCCTCGGGTATTTACAAAAATTATGGCCACCCTGGTCGGCCACATTCGTACTCGCCCCATTCGGCTCCAATTTTATTTGGACGATATTTTAGTTATGTCCTCGTCCCGGGACGCGGCCCTGTCCGATCTAGCCTCTGTTCTTCACTCCCTCCAATCTTACGGTTTTTCTATAAATTGGTCCAAGAGCCATCTTTCCCCTTCCTCACGTATCCTTCACTTAGGGGCTATTATTGACACGGCCTCCTCTCAGGTATCTCTTTCCCCCGAGCAACAGGCGAGTCTGCGCTCATTGGCCTACAGATGCTTTTCTTCGGGTTCTGCATCCATTCTGACCTGTCCCGCCTATTGGGTAAGATGGTGTCTACCTTTGGCATCATCCCATGGTCTCGATTGCACAACAGGGACCTTCAATGGCTTCTGCTGCCCTTTCAAAGGACACTACAAGACACTTCTACCCATCGAATCCGGCTGCCGGATCAGGTCATCCACTCCCTTCATTGGTGGACCTCAGACGCCTTGTCCCGCGGGTCGTACTTCAGGGAGCCTCAACGTCTACAGCTGACCACAGATGCCATATAGCTCAGGGTCGGTGGTCAACCCAAGAGTCCCTCCTCAACATCAATCTGTTGGAACTACAAGCCATACGACTAGCTCTGCTTCATTTCCAAGATCACTTGGAAGGGATGGATGTCCTGGTCCTAACGGACAATACCACTGCCAAGGCCCATGTGAACAAGATGTGGGGAACTCGGTCTCGGGCCCTAATGGATGAGGCCCGCCTCCTGGGCCTCTGGGCCGAGACTCATCTGGCATCCATCAAGGCAGACCACATCTCCGGCGAGGCAAATGTCCAGGCGGATTCCCTCAGCAGGCAACTGGTAGACCAAGGGGAATGGTCGATCTCTCCCGACCTCTTTCTCGAGATCTCCTCCAGGTTCGGGATGCCAGTCCTCGACCTGTTCGCTTCCCGGACAAATCATCAACTGCCCCGTTATTTTTCGAAGTTCCTGGATCTGCAAGCGGAAGCCACGGATGCTCTTCACAGCAGGCCTCCTGTATGCGTTCCCCCCTCTACCGGTGATCCCCAGGGTCATCCGGAAACTTCTAGCGGAGGAAGCTCAATTAATATTGATCGCCCCGTATTGGCCCATGTGACTGTGGTTCGCGGACTTGATGTCCCTTTCGGTCTCGCCGCCTTGGCAAATCCCACCCTCCAAGATACATCTGTCCCAAGGGGCGCTCAGCCACCCGGACCCGGCCTGGCTTCGCTTGACCGCCTGGCGGTTGAGCGGCTCCTGACAGTGGCTAACGTTCCTCCGGAGGCCATTCCTACGATCCAAGCCGCTCGCCGCCCTTCCACAGTTTGTATCTATGAACACACGTGGCGTGCTTTTACCTCTTGGTGTGCCACAGTGCCAATTGCTCCGACTTCGGCCTCCATACTTCATGTGTTGGCATTTGTTGGCATTTCTCCAAAATGGCCTCGACAAAGGTCTGGCACCAAGTACCTTGCGGCGTCACGTAGCGGCCATCGCTTCAATTCTGACCTGCGGTTCAATGGACTCCATATCTCGCCATCCTATCATATAGACCTTCCTTCGTGGAGCGACAAATTTGCGGCCACCAACAATCCATCGTTATCCCTCCTGGAACCTTAATAAGGTACTTACCGCTCTCATGTCGCCTCCGTTTGAGCCGCTTCGATCAGTCTCCCTTCAGTTTCTTTCCTTGAAGGTTGCCTTTTTGGTGACGATTACATCTTCCCGCCGTATTTCTGAACTAGCAGCCCTTTCCATCAGGGCGGACCTATGTATTTTTCATAACGACAGGGTGGTTCTCCGGCTAGACCCGTCCTTTTTACCAAATGTTAACACCCCGTTTCACAGAGCGCAGGAGCTTGTTCTCCCAGACTTTTGCCCTCGACCTTCACATCATCTGGAACGTTCATGGCACACCCTGGACGTCCGCAGGGCTCTTAAGATCTACATTGCTCGGACGGAACCCCATCACAAGACGGAAGCCCTATTTGTGGCATTTCACCCTACCTCCATTGGTTCCCGGGTGTCAGGGACAACTTTGGGTCGCTGGATCAGGGCTACGATTTCATTGGCCTACCGCCACTCAGGCTCGGCACCCCTACGCCATATTACGGCACATTCGATTAGGAGCGCCTCGACATCCGCCGCCTGGTCTACGCAGGCATCGCTCGAAGAGGTCTGCAGAGCCGCCACATGGACGACCATAAGCCCTTTCGTCAGGCATTACAAGGTTGACGCCTTCGCGTCGCCGACGCAGCTTTTGGCAGACGAGTTCTCCAGTTGGTATACATTGCTTGAATGGCCTTCACCCTCTCTGGTGACATCAAGCTTTGGTATGTCCCCACTCTGACTGACGTTTCCCCCTAGCTAGAGAATGGACGTTGGTCTTACCTGATACGTCCCTTCTCAGCATAGGGTAAACGTCAGTCAGCCCCTCCCTCGTGAGCGGTCCGCTGCCAGCTGGGTGTGTGTGGATTTTTAACTCTCTCTCGTTTCAGGAAGACACGCTGAATGAGTCTGCAACTTCGCTCTCGCCGAAGAACTGGGGCGGCCCGGGAGGGCGGAGCTTTTAAGATGGCAGACTCGGTCAATCGCTAGACGGACTGTCTCTTCCCACTCTGACTGACGTTTATCCTATGCTGAGAAGGGACGTATCAGGTAAGACCAACGTCCATTTTGTAAAACTAGCATTTTTATTGTAATTTATGCTGACAGAGATTTCAGTAGTTAGGAAAGAAAAGTTCCAGAACAGGCATGGAATTTAATAGCAGCAAATTGAAAAACATGCTAAAAATTATTTTTTGATGCAGAATGATAGAGTTTTTACAGAAACAGATGAACGTACAGTTTAGTACCTCCCAAATTGAAGAAAAGCTAATTTAAAAGATAAGTAGTCAAGCATTGCAGCAGTTTAGTGTCATATTTATCCCCCTGCGTACAAAGCAAACATATATAGTCATCAGCAGATAACTCAGTGATAAAAAATAAAATATATCTTCTATCGCATTACAATGCAAATCCTACCACTGAATTTGGATGCAAGTATGTATACTTTACAATGTGACATTATTTGTACCATGTCCTCCACAGCACACTCCTATAGTTGACTGGAGGCACTATGAGTAAGCAATTCCAAGGTTCAGGAATTCCAAGGTGTTCTAGTTTGTATAAGGCTGCACAGGTACGTAAATTGGGGAGGTTACTCCAATTTGTCTCTAGAAGTGCAGATCTACTCTGTAGTAAGAAAATTTACATGTGGTCACTGACTGGTGAGCTATATCTGTATCTGAACCTAGTCAGCTCCACTTAGTGTGACTTATGACAGAATAGTGATGATTGCATAACTGCAATGTATAATATGTGAAATTATCTTTCAAGATAGCCTATAAAAGGCAGGTGAGTATACATAATCCTTGATTTATGACCAGTCACTTTATCATTCAAAGTTACAATGGATTCAAAAATTTACTTACAACCCATCGTTAAAATTACAGTTGCTGCATCAGCCCCACAGTTAGTTGACCACATTTTGCAACATTTTTTGCCCTTTTCAGGCAAAAAAATGCCCATTGGATAACCTGTACCCAGATTTACAGCCATGTAACTCACTTAACAATCATGCAATTTACTTAACAACCATGGTGACTCAGTTAATGACCATCATACAAGTTGTTGCAAAATTAAGTCCAATCATGTGGCAACTCAACTTACAACCACTATGTCTTGGGACCAAAATTCCAGACACAATTGTGATCATAAGTCAAGGACTACTTGTAAATTATTAAATAAACAAATATACAAAACTATGTAATATTGGTCCTAAAAATGCTACTTCGCTTAGCTGTGAGTTACTGGTCTAGTAGTATGTGCTGATTTTTTCTTCTATTCAATCTGGTCTGATTCTTGGATGCCCCCTGCGCTTTTCTTGGCAAGGTTTTTGAGAAATAATTTGCCATTACCTCCTTTCTAGAGCTGAGGGAAAATGACTATCCCAAGGCAGTTGAGCTGGCATTGTGTTTAATTTTACATGCTGATACTACTCTCCAAGGCTTAGAACTAAAGTTCTGATGGCTTAGAGCTCTGTTATTTAAAATATTACCTGCCAGTGCCACCCAACCCACATATTAAGATGGGTTCTTGTTCTCATGATATAGTCTGTAGGTTCAGTTCATGGTAATATGGCAAGGATTAGAGATTTCTTACAATTATGGCTCTTAGCCAGTGAAAATGAAGCTGACATCTTCATGTCTTTTTTAAAACAACTAAAAGACATTTCTGCTTCTCCAGAATTGTAAACAATTGCTTGGACCTTGAACAATTTCTTTTTGAAAATGAAATTTCTTCAAAACAGTGTTATTATTTATAGAATTTGGATGGCTTTTTTATTAATTTATATTTTTGTTCTGGGATCCTTTCTTCTGGTCCTCTTGGGAAGGAAGAACAGTAAGAACAATACATAAGAAATGATTTAGCGATAGAAGGATAAACGCAAAACGCTAGAATCATAAACAGGCATAATAGTATTATACATTTAAGTATTATTTCTACATCTAAATAAAGGCCACATCTATAGTCTTTTGCCGTACTTCTAGAACTCATCATGAAGGCTAATGGACTTTTTAAAATTTCTGACATAAACTGGCATATAATAATATTTTCTACCCTATATTTCTTGCCACATCATATTCATTTAATTATACTGTAAATATTTTCAAGTTTGAAATATCTTCCTGCTTTTCTGCATTATTATGCATTAATATTATCCGTATTATCCATACGGAATCTAAATTATCGTTAGCTATTGATTCAGTACTTATACAAAAGTAGTATAGAGAAATTTATTTTGTGAAATTCCATCATCTAATTAACTTTGGAATTTCACGGAATTGAATGTTATAGGATTTCAGAAACAAGTCATCAAATAAATTTATTTTTTTTTCTATCCAAATCTAGTTTATTCCAATGCTTTAATGTTGGACTTTAATCATCTTTAGATAATGTTGGAGATGTGACTGCTTAGATGCTACATATTATCATATATGGTGGACCTGCAAAAAAGCAAAGGCTTTCTGGATAAAGATTTGGTGGGTTATGCAAAATGTTTTAAAGAAAAAAATTCAATATTCTCCTCAATTGTTTTTATTGGGCATAGTTAAGGGCTTTTCAGTGGGTGAAACAAAATTGATATTGTATATGGTGACAGCAGCTAGGTTATTGATTGGTCAATATTGGAAAAGGGATGTTATGCCTACAATTCAAGAATGGACTTTGAAGATGGCCAGTTTTGCAGAAATGGCGAAGATATCAGCATACTTAAAAGACCGGACTCAAGAGACTTATGTATGGGAGTGGAAGAAATGGATAGATTATGTGCAGAATAAATATCAAACTAGGAAGTACCAGATAGCTTTTAGCTGAATGTTGTGTAGAAATGTATAGTATATAGGGGGTAAAATAGCTTATTGTTATGTAGAAATGTATAGTACACGGGGGAGAATAGAAGGGTGGTAAAGTATGATATAATATAATTTGGACGGATTTCACCTTGGGGAAGTCATGGGAGGAGGGGATTTGTAGGGAGGGTTAGGGAGGGAAGTGGGGAGAATGGGAAAATTTGTATTTGCAAAACTTTTTCAATAAAAAAGAAATGCAAGTAGAAAAATAGGGACCATCTTTGGTGGAAAGGTAACAATGTTCCGTGCGTCTATGGTGTTTAGTCATGCCGGCCACATGACCACGGAGATGTCTTGGGACAGCGCTGGCTCTTTGGCTTTGAAACGGAGATGAGCACTGCCCCTAGAGTCGGAAACAACTAGCACATATGTAGAGGGGAATCTTTATCTTTACTCCAGGAAGAAGCTAATGATGCATCCAAACACGTGTGTAATTTGGTAGAAAAGGCAGAGCATAAATTAATTTTGAGAGAAAAGGTTGGCAAATATGCTACTTAATAAGCCAAAATCAATTTGAAGCAGATTTTTTTTTAAAAAAAATTAACTCATACAGTCAGTAGACATGAAAGAAAGAGACTGATCACATAATTGATATTATGGTGTTAACAAGTATCCACTGCTGCATTCCTTGTCAATTTACTGAATCTGTTAGTTTCTGCTAAGGCTTACGTACTTTTGTGCCTTACAAACCATTTGTTTGCTCTTAAATAAAATATGATAGCTCTCTGCATGAACCTGCATTATTTATGAAGCTGTTTCCTGTCTTCTTGTATGATTTAGAATATTCTAGGTGTGGCAGTTTGCAGCCACAATTTATATTTGGGGATGTTCAAAGCTTTTTGCTTGAGTTTGTTGGAGAAATAATGATGATCTTAATTTTTTTTTCTTAAAGGAAGATGGGCCATATATTAAAGAAAAAATATATAGTATTTCCGAAGAGGTTAGCTCTGAATTTTTGGAAGAAGAAAGATAGCTTTCTCATTATCTTGTAGCTCCTTAATGTCTTTAAAGAACATGTCTTTCTCTAAGAGTTGGGAATGCGGAGATCTGATTTAAGGGTCGGTCTAGATATCCTGTTATAGAGTTCAAAAGAAAAGGGAAAAGGAAAAAATAACTCAAATTAAGAGAAATCTGAACAACACATATCTTTCTTAGAAAAGAAAGATACACATATTGAATCATTTCTAAAATTCATACTGCTTCTGAAAATAGCTGAAAATTCTGTTACAGCTAAATTATTTGGCAGCAACATTTTATCTTTAATGCATACCGAGGCAAACGTGAATTTAGCACTCCACTAACTAAAGCACTCCAATTGCAGAACAATTGAATTACGGATATCATTTTTGATAAGCCTGGTTGAGCCCGGAGGGAGGGGTCCCTCTGGTAGAAATGTGGCCACCAGGCTTCCAGGCATTCCGTCAGCCGAGGTCCCGGGAGGGGTGGGGGAGTAGCAGTTATTATTAGAGAAGGCCTTAGGCCGAGGGAGGCCACTGTTCCTCAGACGGCCGGTTATGAGACCCTCCTTGTGAAGTGGGGTCATGGGGTTCAGAGGGGTTTGCTGATCACGTACCTGGCTCCCTGCCATGTGGCAGCAGCCCTGCCCGAGCTACTCAACGTTATCGCCGCGGTGGCGGTTGATACCCCCAAACTTATGGTCATGGAGGATTTCAACCTGCCGTCCGTGGGTGAGACATCTGAGGTGGCTCGGGAGTTCATGGCTTCCATGACAGCTATGGATCTGACCCAGCTAATTCATGGCCCTACGCACATGGGGGGGAAACACACTGGACTTGATTTTTGTCTCTGGACAGTGGCTGAGTGATCTCAAGATAGGGGACATAGTCATCGAGCCCTTGTCATGGTCGAATCACTCTCTCCTTCGCCTTGACCTTCGAACCGCTGCACCCCGCCGCAGGGAGGCGGAACCGATAAGATGGTACCGCCCCAGGCGCCTGATGGAACCTGATAGTTTCCAGATGGAGCTTGGGCCAATCCCCGAGGTTCTGGCTCACACCTCGACTGGAGACCTAGTGGCCGCCTGGGATAGGGCGGCCGCTGGAGCTCTGGATCGAGTCGTGCCTTTGCGGCCTCTGACCCGGCGCCGATCTCACCTGGCTCCTTGGTTTACTGAGGAGCTGAGGGAGATGAAGCACTGGAAAAGACGCCTAGAGAGTAGTTGGAGGGCCAGTCATACTGAATCTG